GGATTTCAAGACTGTAGAGATTACCAAGCAAAAGATTAAGTGAATGGTGGCAGAAAGCGAGAGAAAACTAGGTATTTTCTTATTAACTCATGGCAAGGGAGTTTTAGAGCCTCACTTTCTTTGCAGTGCGGAGTGATTATGGATTTCACATTTAAATATTCTAAGCTTAAATGGTAAAACAAAGTGGCTAGGTGGCGTAAGCTACCGCCCGATCCAAAAGGCTCAGCCGGATTCATCCATCCATCCATCCATCCATGGTCTAATTACCCACGAAACTATTGCTTTCAGGGTATTCTAAATAAATAAAGAAAATCATAGCTAAATCAACACGGCAGAATGTCATCCCCACGCTCGAAACCACGCGCCTGCCGGGAAAAAGAGCGGGCATTATTAAATTTCATAGAAACGCTTCACTTTCGCGAGGATTACAAGACTCGCCTATACCATGAGACATATCCAACAACCGCTCTGGGCACGTGGCGTTCCAGCGTCATAATGATGCTGACCGCCTGCTGTATATATTAAGAACGACCCGGGCCGGCAATGTTGGATCTGAAAGCCTGCCCCACTTCTCCCTTCTTCCCCCCCCCCCCCCCACACACACACACATACACACACACGCGCACGCACGGACGCACGCACGCACGCACGCACGCACGCACGCACGCACGCACGCACGCACGCACGCACGCACGCACGCGCGCGCACACACCCGCGCACACAAGCGCACAGACAGGAATCTATCGTTAATATAAACCACGTTAATGAGGACACCCCGCTCAGCTATATAGACAAACTTTCCGGGAACAAACTCGGAAAATGTTTGAACTTTTGTCTCGTGATACTGGGCAACTTCCGCTATATGGACACGCCATGGGAGAAAGGAGGTGTCCATACTAAAGAGACCTGACTGTGCATACGCAAGTCGCACCCAAAAAGGAGAGACGGAAGGAATCTGCAATTGAAAATTCCCTCGCCTTCCGTTCCCGGTCGGGCCTCAATTTGATGAATTCCGTACGACGCGCGTTTCACATTGTTGATTCTAAAATATTCCATGGTGTTCACGTGCTCGCGTGCGCGAGTATTTTCGTGCGTGTATAAGTGTGTGCGTGCGTGTGCAACCCCCCCCCCCCCCCAAAAAAAAAAAATAAAATAAAACAACCAAAGCATATATGTACTTTCCGCGACTCTAAAGAGACGAAAAAAAAAAAAGATAATAGAAAATAACGTGCTAGGCAATATACCTTTTCTTGTTTCCAGTCTTCCCCAGCTACATGACTTTAGCCTATAATATGATCGACGAAACAACAAAATAATTTAGCCTGGACGAAATAAACGAAACAAAAATAGACAAGGCGAATCAAGGTTGAGGGATCTTTACAATTATAACGTGAACACCAAAGATACCCATGTTGAATATACCTGAGACTGGGGTAGAAAAAAACCCATAAAAGTCGAAGAAACAGAACGGGACAGGACGACGTCTCAAACTCAGCTACCAGGTTTATTCAGTCCTCCTCCTTATATAGTCCACAAACAGCCCACCACCAACACAAAGGGGCAACTCTAACCAGTTCAACCGCCAAACCCTCCAGACAGTCACTACCAACACAAAGGGACAACCTCTAAACAGTCCAAACGCCAAACCCTGTAATTCCAAACTAGCGCTATGGACCGCCTTCATGCCGATTCACAAAGATGACTCAGCAATCTCCCCCAAAACATAACAAAAGGACCATTACCTCTTCCAAAGTAACAAGGATCCACAAACACATACACAAAAAAAAACACCTTTTTTCACTTATTCAAACCTTATTCAACATGGTTAACATCCACCAGCTCGCCTGCACCCTTACTATTGCACCAAAGATACATAAAAATGGCTCTCCTCAGCGAGTCGTTGAGGTACATATCATGGCGCCAAGAGTCCGCTTTCTCTCACCGCGAGAGCGAGATCTATATATAGTTTGCCTCTCGCTATGCGAGCGACGATTACCTTCGTGACTGCTCCTCTGCTTACGCGCGCAAAAAACGTGTTTCGTCCGCTACAAAGCACCGTTCGCAGACGGAAATAAAACAAGAAAATTCCGTACATCGTCTGCTAACATACCGGCTTAAAAGCTTATCGTCTGCTACGAATCATGCGCCGTGGCGAAGATCGGACTAGGGCGGAAATTGCGAACGTCATCTATTTCGTTTTGAAAGCCATTGACAACATGCGCTTCATTTGCGAATCGCAGGTTCCTCTGCAGCCCTACGCAAGCTGACATCGACCGATGGATAAAGGAGTACTAAAGACGAGCACACCAGGGTCCGCTAGACCCCTATCGTTATTTGCTCTTTGGTGAGATGATCTCACCAATATTCGCGACTCCAGCGAACTATAGAGGGCGCGCTGCTCAGGCAAAATGGCGGACGAAAGGAGGTCGTTTTCGTCATTCTGCACGCGGACCAGCACAAATTCCTGCACTGCAGCGTAAAATCAATGTTACATTTCAAAGCAAAGCGATTTTTCGACGGTAGATACTTTCTTCTAGTCAGTGCGTAGGAATGACACGGCGCAATCATAAAAATAATTACTGGAAACGACGTTTGTTTTTATGCTGCCTACGAGAACTAAGCAGCGATAGCAGACGACAGAGTCGAAACGACCTCCTCTCCTGATCTTCTCGGCGCTGCCGCTACGCGGCGACGATTTCGCCGGAGTCGCGAATATAGACAGTTTTACAGCCGGTAGCGTCATTTTGAATGCTGCAGAAGCGCCATCTAGCGAGCGTCAGGTCCTGCGGCCATGCTGGGTGGTTAAAAACGCCGGTTCAAGTTCTCTTTGGGGCGGCGCTCCTGCGTTGGGTGTGCCAGTTGGGTGCTCCAGACTCCAAAGTGCCGGGTATCTGACTTGGGGCGCGTCTCGTGTTCTTGTGTGCCGCGGATGACGTTTCTCAACTTATTGGGCACGTTTCTCGTCCCGCATTATGCCATCCGCCAGTGTAGCGAAGCCCCGAAAAGTGCGGCACTGCAACGCGCCACCGATAGAAATCGGAGGCGAGTACTCGAAATATTGTATCAGTTAACAAAGATCGAATTCCCCTTCAAGTTTTTGGTCGTTTTAGATGCCGTACACTGAGAGTATTTTTGACGTTTCGCGTAGTCCACGGCAATAAAATATAATGTGAATTGAAGGATGCACTGAAGAGTACATTGCAGTGAACGATCGGCGGCTTGAAGATGTTTATAAAAGTTTTATTTCAGGCTCCCGTGTCGACGAGTGTGTCCTTCGTCGAGAACTGAAAACAGCAAAGTCGAGATGTGCCCATTGACGGAGCGAGCCAATCTATGATTGAACGATTAGAAATTGATGCACGAGCATGTATCAGCAATATAACTTTTTCTTCACGGCTACCATTATGTACTAATCTAAAAAAAAATCCAGTCGCGTTGTGAGGGCCAACGTGAGTTCAAGGCTCTCGGGTATCGTGAAGGAGATCGCGATTTAGGAAAGCGTAGAAAACTAACTTTTCGCCAAGTTCCAGCCAAACCCGGCTGCGGAAATGACTCTTTAACTAAGCGTTGTAGATGATAAAATCGAGTCAATGTGACCAGCGGGAAATATCAACATTAAGGTAAATTAAGTTACGGTAAGTTGCAAGCCGGAAACTGCAATTCTCACGAGAAAACTTGCGAGCACCTTGGGAGCGTGCATGTTCATCGCGTGGGCGCTCTATTCACGAAACGTTCCGAGCATGCTCAAGAGGATGGAGTTTGGGAAAAGTCTTTTTGGTTTACGGACGCAACCCACTGCCGCCGGAGTGGACATCTGGAAAGCGATGAAGTTTCAAGACGTTGCAGCCGCAGTTGCCTCGTCGGATCCCGTGCACTATACACATGCCCTCCGGTAATATTCTGCACTCTCGGTTCCTATTTGTGAAGCTTATTACCGAATAATGGCGTCCCGATGACCAGGGGATTGTCGTCATTGGATTCGTTAGCTCTAATTAAAGCTGAAAGTTTTAAAAATAGAGAAAACCGCGAAGGAAACGAGCGAAATTGGGGCAACACACGCGTCCAAGGGATTCATCCGGGTCTTCAGCTCGATCCTAACACAGCAGCAAGGAGGAAAGCGTTACCTTACCAAATTCAAAAATTTAACTTGGCGAAAATGTTATTGTGACTCGTAATTTGGGTTACTCAGTCAGATGGGTGTATTAATGAGTCGAAGTAATTATGAGGGACATCAAGGACAACTCGCCGGAGACCCCCATTTAGCGGCTGTGCTGCACTGCCGGACCATCTACAGCCAGGACACCGGACGCAATTACAAAGCCAGACTCACCGCAGTCATTGAACGTTCAGAAACGAGTGGTGAGTCGCGAATATCTCATTCTAGCTCCTGAGATAATCAAATAGCGGCATTAAAAACCCTAGAAGTACAAATCGAGAAGCGAGTTCTTAAGCTGCGAATATCTAGAACCTCCCGTCTCCTAGGCTGCCCTTTAAGTCTTTCGGTGTAGAATTAATTTCTACAAATTATAAGCAGAGTTTCGTGCTTTCAGGCTTTATTTGTCTCCCAATTCGGGTGTGTGTGTGTGTGTGTGTGGTTTTTTTGTTTTTTTTGCTGGTGTATCGATTTCGAAAGATTCGGTGTTCTTCGGTACCAATATTTTTTCCGAAACATTGGAATTTATCACGGGGCGTATGCTGAAAAAAATTGGACACGAGCATCCGATCCCCCGACTTCCGGAGACCGTACGTGTGAGCCGAATAATTGGGAAAGCGTCCCCGTACTAATAAAGACAGAAACGATTAATAGGGTTCGGTTCCGCGCGGGAACAAGCAGCGCCTCGAAGGTAGTTCAGAGTGGGCTGTGTCCTGTCTGGTACACTTGACTCAGAATACAATTACAATTACTCTGGACTAAAAAGTATTCAATTAGATTAATCCAATACATGTACACGTTACACCTGTAGGGTTAAGATACATTGAAATCTTCTCGGTCAACTCACCCTCCTGGAAGTTTTGCGGCTGATTGGGGCGTTCCGACGGTGAACTCGGGGCAGGTCGCCTCTTGCAAGCGTGTCTGAAAGATGGGCAAGACAAGGAAGAAATCGGGTCTTTTGTTTGGGAATTTCGGCTTATTAAAATCTTCCGGGTTTTTACGTCTATCGACCAAACGGCTGATTGTACGATTGACTAACGCGTAAGATCACTCCATACTTTTAACCGAGACCCCCCACCTCATAAAGCTGAAAACTTGAAAACAACAAGAAAAAAAAAAAAAAAGGACAAGATACGAGAACTGAACGAACACAACGCTGACTGACAATTGAAGTTTATGTTTGTTCGTTCACTGCTCGTTCTTGTCCTTTGTTTTTTTTTTCCCGCTGTTTCCAAGTTTTTATTATGCACCAACTAGCCCGACTTCACGCCTTGTTGCCTCATAAATTTGTCTATCAATGCGTTTTATCGCTAAATCAGCGGGGAAATTGACGTGACACGACGGCATCGTGTGACACAACGGTTCCTCAGCATGAAGTTACGTCATTTCATCGGGTAGAGTGACGTCAGAACACGTGACCGCATCGTCCACCGGTACACTTTGCGGGCATTTCTCGGAACGGGACGCCACGTGACCTTATGGAATCATGTTAGACCCCGAAGTCGCCATGATGTCAGGTTACCGTCTAATTATAGTAGAGGAATTGACGTCAGACGGCCATACGGCGTGGCGTTAGGCCACGTGACATTATGGGAGCTTTCAAATAATGTACACTATTATAGCGCAGGTTAGCGCTATAGCTTGCGCTTGCGTTAGCGCACGCTACGCGAGAAAGTTTTAGAAGGGCGTGTCTCAGCCGCAACGCCACCCAGATACAGTAACAATTTTCGTTTCACACACAAAAAGCTATAATTAGAGAAAACAAAAGGTTTGGGTACGGAGTAATGAACATTTTAGAGTTGTTTAAATATGAGGATGCGACGCGAACAGGCGCATATCGGCGAGAGAAGTCTCGCATACAAAACTTCGCCCATCGCCTTTCCCGACAAACGTAGCGGCAAGTTACCCGATATCGCTGCCCACCTGGGTGTGTCTTCCAAGCAGTGTTGTACGGAACGGGGTTCCAAGGAACGACGTTCCTGGAACGCGTTCCTTTAGGAGGAACGAAGGAACGCCGCCGTTCCCTTTTGCATCGCTGGAACTGGAACGGGAACTCGTAACAATTTTACGGGGACGGAAAAAGGAACGGAGTTGCTTTTTCTTCGTCCAGTGGTGTAATTTTTATTTTATTTGGTTAATTCCTAAAAAAAGTATAAAAACAATATATTTACGAAGAGCAGGATCTCGTTAATTTTTTTGTAACTTAGGGTTTCTTTTGTTTGGGCCTGGCTTGGTAACAGTCGGGTGCAGCAGAGCTAGTGCATTGATTCCTTTTTCAGCGCCCGAGACCGCGGTACAGGAATCAAAACACTTAGTCGAAGGAAAAGACAAAAAAAGGGACGTCTCAAACTCAGCTACTTTCTTTGCTTCCACGAATCCTCATACTCCCAGAAATCTAAGGAAGACTACGACCATCCCTAAACTTCTACAAAGAACCCCACAGTGAAGCACCGAAGAACAGGTTACCAGACATCGAACGCAACCTTGTATCCCGAACATTAGCCGGATGCACAAAAATCAGCCTTCATTCTCTCTCCTGTTCTCCCACCTTCAAACTGAACAATGAATCCAACTTTCACAAGGAAGGACTTGTAGTTTTCAACACTGACCTTCCAAAAGCCCTACCCTCTTCTCCACTCGCTCCCCTTACGGACAGCAACACTGAGAGGCAACTGTTGTTACGTTCGAACAGGGGGCTTTGTTAGATTGAAACGTGTGAAGTTGTAAAACGCTCGTGCCATGTGGGGTAACAGTACATTTCGCTCGTCTGAAACTCCCACCACAAACATGAATACGGCAAAACGCTGAGATTTTGAAAAGTGAATATATCAACAAATGAAACCTTGCTTCCGCTTGTTTCCTTCTCTTGCTGTCCTTCCATAGCGACATTCAAATTAGTATGTTGCCATATGATGAGATAGATAAAAAAAAAAAAACTTTGATCCAATCAAATATGGTAATTATCAAAATGCAAATGTAACGTATATGTAACGATACTTTCTGTTGTTTTAAACTGTAACGGGAACGAGTTCCTTTCTCACAGATGAAACTTGTAACGGGAACGCGTTCCAAAAATGGAAAGGAACGAGGAACGAGCTTTCTTTTCTCTTTTTGAGGAACAAGTAAAACCAAACTGCTTCTAGCGTGCGTCTCCCGTACGAGTTCAATGTCTTCCCGTATTTAAAATCTCAGCCGCAAAGAGTTCGCCGACATTGCGTTCATGACGTCCGCCAAGGCGGCTATCGTCAGCACAGTCCTGGGAGCCGCCATTTTCTGACTGTGCTCGTCTTGGCTTTAGACAACTTCTCGGGCATCACGAATCCTCTTTGGAGGAACTCAGCCTCTTCGCCCACGAGCGCAATTTTCGAAAAATAGCGTACGCCAAATAGCTCCCGTAAAGCGCGGTTAGCGTTCGGCAAATGTGCACTGGAGACGATGCTGTTCTTTGCGTACGCAAAGCTTTTTGCGTACGCGATTCTAAAGCATATTCTGGCGTTAGGTCACGTAACGTCAATTTCACCTCTAAACTTAGCGGCGAGATAATAATAATAATAATAAAAGTGTTGTTTTTATTCCTCAAACACCGCATGCCATGCATTTTACGACTTCGGAGATAAATATCGTCGGTAATTCTACAATTGATGGATTGCCCGATTTGTTGGCCGATTGATTTTCGTTTGTGGTTGACTGATCGGCAGAACCAGCGTTGCAAGTTTCTAAACTCATTGGTGATAGCTAATAGCTTATAATTAGGACAGTGTCGTTTCCTGTGTACACCAATAAACACCGAAATGTAACCCCCGAGCCGATTTGATCAAAATCGGGTAAAACCAAGATGTGCTGTAGAAGAACTTGTAGTTGGGCCAGTTGGTGAACGTTGGAAATCATCGTGTAAGGAGCAAAAAAACAACGGACACGAGAGAGAAAACAGGCAAACAGGCGTCACTCACAACTATATTTGAGAAGTGCAGAAAGTAAGGAATACACATGTTGTCATCTTCATCACGTCCACGCATGCGCTCGGCCATGTGATATACGCTATAGACGAACACGCGGCCCTCACGTCGAGCCACTGCGGTGGCGCTGTCGACGGCACTGCGCATGCGCAGATGCTTCACGCGAATTCGGTTTCTGCGCATGCGCAGTGCCCACACCTGGTGTGGGCTAGGGTGCCTTCATGTGCGCTCTGCTTAGGGTGGTGGCATCTCGTCATTTTGTCACACACGTTTATTTTTATTTTTTTATCAGAAGCGCGTGAAAGAGCGTGTCCCTGCACGCGCTTGTGGCGCTGAATGTGCAATGGCGACATTTTGTTTTCGTCGATTTCTTCGTATTTTTCCCGTAAGCGCGTGCTGTCGGCATGTGGTACTACAAAGGGTGGCATCACCCTAAACAGAAGGACATTGAGGCACCCTAGTGTGGGCAAACGCGGGCTTCTTTGTAAACAGCCTGTCGGTCTATAAGCGTATACCACGACGCTAAACGCATGCATGGACGTGATGAAGATAACGATGGGTGTATTCCTTTCTTTCTGCACTTCTCAAATATAGTTGTGAGTGGCGCCGGTTTGTCTGTTTTCTCTCTTGTGTCAGTTTTCCTTTTTTTTTTTTTGCGCCTTACACCATGATTTCCGCAACCAAGATACACGGAATTCAAGCCATTCCTGAATAAGAAAAATAAAAGCTTGGCGAAAGAAAAGATTTATGTGTGCACAGTCTTCTGTGAGTGTGTTTATTCCGAACACAGCCTGCCCTCTCTGGCTACTAGCCGCGCTGACGGACTGGGTGGATGGTTGAATAGAGCTGAGTCCCTTTAATAGGGCGGCGGCTCGAGCCACCTACCCAAAGCTCACAAAAAGTAAGGTTAAGCCGTTTAACGGTATACGTAATGTCCCCCCCCCCCCTAAAAAAACGAACAAACAAATAAACAAAAATGTCTTCAGGCTTTTTTTCGGCGTAAAAATAAACTACGCATCGCCGAAGGCTTATTCTCCGCCGAAAGATGTCCAAACCAGATGCCGATGTTTCAGCACGAACCGATATGTTAGTCCAAACCCTATAAGTGATTTTCTGAAAATTTCAATAGGCGATGGGGCCCATATTCGCCCGTTTTCGGTTTCTGGCGCCTTAGAGCCCCATGTATTCGAAAACTCCGTCGGCCGCCATTTTCCCATTGAAATTTTCAGAAGATCACTTACAACTTTTGAATAAAATATCAACTCGTGTTGAAACTTTGGCATCTGGTTCGGACATCTAGCGCTTTGAGGGGAGAATAAGCTGTACTACGGGTTTTACTTGAGCTAGTTGGTACATACTTGAATATGGTCAGCTGAACAATTACAAATTAGAAAAACCGTGAGAGAAAATACATACACACCGCTGACTATCAACTTGCTGCCTTTAATACTTCGTCTTCCTTTTTTTCTCTTTACTACAGCTAGTGCTGACAGCCATCCGCCATGTCCGCGCGATGCCCCAATCAGGGTGTTATGCGGCTCGTGCCACGTCCCAAGTATTGTTTTTCTTTCGGGTGGATTGTGATAGACGGGGTGCTCACACACAGTTGAGCACTGTCTTCGATGGCCAGAGCTTCAATTAGTTCACGTGCATATGCGTTCCGGTGCCGCCCTATAATGGTGATGTTGTTAAAATTAGGAGAGCACTTGCAGGACCGGCAATGTGCAGAAAGATGTCCTGCCGATGTTCCTTTAACAGAGGCCGCGTGCTCCCTAGCTCGATCATTCACACACCGCCCCGTTTGCCCTATGTAACACCTGCCACAGGAAAGCGGTATGTTGTACACAACGCCGCTTTGGCACGGGGTGTATTGCGTCCTGTGAGCAATTGTGCATTGCTTCTTCTGTTGATTTGTTTTGCGATTAGTTCTCCGGCACATGGAGTAGGCCTTGTTTGGTGCCGAGCACACAACCCGAATATCATGCCTCTCGGCAATCTTTTTGAGGTTGTGTGTGAGACCATGGATGTAGGGTATGACAGCTACGTTCCTTCGATTTGTAGCTTGCGATGAAACCTCATACCCTGCATGCTCGCGTTTCAACTTCTGGCAAATGGTTTCCGAGACGGTCACCAGGAGAGACTCGAGAATAAGCCTTCGGAAATGCCTAATTTCCTTTTGGGCGAAAAAAAAATGTAAATTTCATTTTGAACACCCTGTACTTCTAGATTCGAAATTAACCTACCCTCGTCTACTACTTGGCCGAGGCGCCTCCTGTCGACTGACCCAGGGTGAATTCCCCCTCTCATTTTTCCACCGATCGGCGTTCATTCGCGATTTTGAAGGTACTACCACTACAACTACTACTACTACTACTACCAGTGCTACTACCACTACTACCACTACCACTACTAATGCTATAACTACCCTGCTATTACTGCTACTACTACTGCAGCTGCTGCTGCCACTGATCTCTATTGTAGAGATCAGTGGCTGCTGCTATACTACTGCTACAGCTAACTGCCATAGAGCGACAACCAACTTACCTGTCGTGGCGAATCTGAAAATCAGCAAAGCAGCGTCTCACTTCTTCCAGTGAACCTGCGAAAGCGTAGTTAAAAAAAAAGGAGTGACTCCGCGGTCAGGCACACTGCGCAACACGTTTGAGAGCAAACACTATATCGGCGCTTTTTCGTAAACTGCACGCACAGACCGTGTTATTTTTTTTTTATTTTTTTCGTGGGCAGCATCATTTTGACTTCCGCAGCGCCTCTAGCAGTGCGTTCGGGTTCTGCGGCCACGCTGGGTTGGGCTAGAGTCCCTCGATAAACGCTTTGCTTAGTAGCGACACCGATTGATGTGCCGACGTTCTGCCCCACTGGTCCGTGTCCGTCTCCCGTGTCCGGTTGGGAAGAACATGGCGGATTCGACTCGACCTCTCTCTCGAGTAGCGGTTAGGTACCTTTGGCGTTCAAAACCCTACCCGCATAGTCCAGCGTTGTTCTATATAGAATGTCATATGGCATGACCCGCCGGAGTGACTCGGATCATTTCGAACACAGCAATGGTGGGCGAGTTAGGAAGAACATGGCGGACCGGGCGCGCCAGCAGACGACACGAGCCAGCAGAGGAGGGAAGGAGCTAGATTTGTTGCTAACTCGCATAAGAGCCGTGTATACACTCTTAAAATGAAAGGGTGAGTAAAGGGACCAATCGCCATCATTCATTCATACGACCCTAGCGCCCTCTATTCAGAAGCGATAACTCGAGCAGTTCGTCTCTCGGGCATTTCGTTGCTCCCACTGGAGTTGCTTCCCTAATGAATACTTTAGTTCCCTCGTCAATTATGGCTGCCGCAAACCTGCGATGAAGTGGAGGAAGCAGCACTCCAGTAGCTATTTTGGAAAGAAGCATTCGCAATACAAGATTTTGGGCCCCGGGATTTAGAACTTGTGGCTACCCGCGCATATTTAGTGAATGTCTCCGTCCGCGAAAAACATGTGGACGGATTCCGAGCGACCCCGGAGGCGCCGGTAACAAGGCTATACCTACTCTCCAACGACCACCTCCGTGCCCCCGAAGCGTTGACCTGCGGCGGTGACGGCCCCGTCAAAGAAAAGTCGGAGTTGCCACCGATTGAACGGTGTTTTGATTGCTTTGGCTACTTGTGGAGCAGCAGGAACGTTACAGGCATTTCAGAAGGTGCTTCATAAAGCCGCAGGATACTCTGTACGGTAGGCGCTCGCTGTCCGACGCGGTCGGGCGCGTACTCGCCCGTGTTAGCGTGCAAACGAGGCCTAGCACTTCGAAACTATGCCCATTGGCAATCCGTTCATCAAACAAACGGTGTTACTATGCCGAAACCATGGCGGTTAGTATGATGCCTGGTGCGTGTTCGCGCCTTGAGATTAAAGTTTCACCCTCCCGCAGTTAGGCGAAAGGTATGGTCGCATCCGCTATGCCTAAATAAACATGTTCTCAATCAATATTAAAGTTTCCCCGAGCGGAGCGAGGGGTTTCAGCGCGTAGTTGGGACTGTTTGAAAGCGGCGCTCGCGAATTCATTTGTGGCCTATCAGAATCGCCCGGTTAAAGTTCGCTTTAGTTCATGTACGCTCGCAGCGAACGAAATCAAACCAATAATGCAATCCCCTTGGTAAAACAAAACAAAAAAAAGTCGACAAAACGTTGCAGCAGCATATGTCCACGAAACTGAACGGTGCCACGAAGTCGTGTTCGCGCGCGTTTAATTAAGCATTACTTTATGCTTTTACTTTCTCCTCGAGGTTCCGAGTATCTTTCGGCCGATGCTGGTCGGCTCCGCATCACGGTTCATAGTTTCAACCATAGTCGCCAATCATCAAATTGGAATTGAACTTGAACGCTATAACGATACTCTTCTTTATAGAGCCCTGCGTGGAGGTGTTTTGTCCTGTAATACTTTTGCTTAAAAGATCCTCACTTAGAAGTTTGGTTTCGCCCTGTGTATGATTTCTCTTGTGCTCGTGGCTTCGAATGTGTTTTGTATTCTTCAAAGCTGCTTTCGTGAATTTCGTTTAAAATGAACTTAGAGTGAATAGGCAGGCGAGCCGGTTGATGTTACAGATTTTTGAAAAACCGGAGACGCGGTCGAAAAAGGGGACAACACACAACACATTTTGTGCGTTGTCCCCTTTTTTGCCCGTCATTTCCGGGTTTTCAAAAATAGTTTAAAATTGTTTCTCTATTCTTTTTTTGCTGTTGTTCATGTAATTGTTGTGTTTGCTTCGGGCTCTGAGCATTGTTATTAGTCCGAAAGTTCTATTTTCGCTGAGATGTTTGAAGCTTGTGGTCTTTTTACCTTTCGAATCCGACATGTATGTTTGTTAAATTTCAACCAGTGTTCCTTTTTGCATAAAGCAAAAACTCTTTATTTCTTTAATAGTGAAGCCGCCTAACTAAAACCTTAAATCCAGGGTGTGACATGAAGTTTTGTGTTGTTCAGTATAACGTGACTGTACCGTCTTGCTTTTTGGACCTCATTATTCAAGATATGAAAAGCCATAAGACATAACTTTGAGACGAGCGTCGGTCACCCTTTGCTGTTTATTGTGTAGTGAAGGGGAAGGGCTTTCCACAGGGCGTACATTTTTTGCCATATTTGTCATGGTCTCAACTGCGCAGTTTACTCTCAGTGCACTTATGGTTAGACCTCGAAATATTTCCAGATGCATTGTATGAACATTATCTCATTAAACATAATGATACAAAATAATTCCTGGCTCATTAATATCTGCAGTCACTAATAAAAATAAGGTCAATATGAATCATATTTCGTAATGCCATATGAAAGAATTGTGGCAAATAATATGTATTTTTCTCAATGTAGAATGCACAGACCAATTTGATGCTTGGCCAAGGTAGTCTGCCAAACTATCCCCGTAAGATGGCACATAAATGACATTGTTTCCTTCCGCTTTTCTGTAATCATTTTCTAGTTAGAATCTTTTAATTGACTTAATGTAGCGTACTACAGAAGTCCATATTTTTGTGTATAAATGCATAAGGGAGATTGTCTTGAAGCGCTGAACATTTTAATGTTCACTAATAAACTAGTTAGTGCTCAGGTTTTTCTTCATATGGGTATTTTCATAATGTATAATTGAATCGCGGGTAATATGGGCGCATATCAATAAACAACAAACTATTACTGATTTGTTTAAAAATATTTAGTACCCACAAGAGTCTGTATTCTTATTTCATTAGTTGTGAATGACGTACCTTCGAGGAAGTCGCAGAAATTCTTTACAAAAATTTAAGCAAGTGAGGCGAAACCTCCATAATATTTTTGCTCTTATGACTAATCTTTATATATAAAAAAATGAAAATTCTTGGGTATATAGTATAGCTAGGGTAAAGATAAAATATAAGTAATTATTTCGTTGTTTCTAGGACTGACTCTCGTTAATAATCTGTTGATTTTGCTTTTGGCAGTCATTAGCAGCGGCATCTGCTTAAAGAAAAGCACGGCCCACATCGACAACGTGGAAAAAAACTGCTCCTGACGTAAAGGTGCTCCATGTGGAGTTCGACACAAGCCAAACCTTCTGTGCACAAAAAGGATTTGCCTGAAAGATTCCTTCGCCTTCGGATATTTTTAAAGTGTATCCAACTTTTGAGTCTAGATATCAGGTAATTGTGTACCTCCTAAACACAATAGCCAAGTATAATGTCCAATCGCGTCACCAAGGAGGAGGCTTATGGGGCTTCACCCCCTCCGTCCCGAAATCCAGTCGACTTTATATATATGCCTGCATTTTGACTCCTCTCGCCCCTTCTACACCCCAAGTCATGGACATCCCAGTCACCTCAGCCCCTTCTCATAACAAATTCAACTAGAGGGGGACTGAGGCGTCAGTTGGAGTTCCTACCCCTCAAAGGAAAGATCAGCACGTTAAGGACAGAAGCACAGAAAGAAGCTTGCAGCAGTGTGTATTCTCACGAATGACGAGGCGAAGAAACTAAGAATAACCGAGGAAACTAAAACATTTAACGTGGGCGAACTTGTGCCCAAAACAAAAAGGGAACAGAAGCTAACAATGGAGCTTCGCGGGCGTCGAAGTCGGAGTAACAGCAGGTTCGAACGCTGGGGCGAGATAGACTCCGGCTTGCCACGCGGCGCACCTTTTGTACACGCGTGGGTTTATGGAGCAGTTGCACTAGAACGTTCTGCGCGTAGAACATTCGTAACTCGATGAGACAAGACAGTTCTCGAACTTGCGAGAACGACAAGTAGAAAGAATAAATAAAGGAGCATTCCGCTACCTGGAATCGAACTCAGATCCTCCGGGCGACAGTCAAATCGGTAACCATTTGGCTTTTTTTTTTTTTTTTTTTTTTAGTACGTTAACTTTTCGGCCACGTACGCGCTCGCTCTGCGACGCCCGTGGCGGTATGTCAGCTTCCCTCTGCGTATACTGTCCCTAACGTTCCTAGCTGGCCTTTCATTTGCATCAATCTACCATCTAGCTTAACTTCAGCCCGTTACTTTACCTCTCGCTATCGCGACAGGGAGCCATCAGTATGCGCAAGTACATAAACTAGTGTTGTGCAATAGCAGACGTTAAGTTCAAAACGAATAGTGATTTTGGGTAATATTTTCTCGTCGAATATCGCATAGTTGTGTTGCTATATATTTAGCGAAAACGTTGTATAATAAAAGGCTATTCCATTCTTGAAATAATTAAAGATGAAGTTTTGTGAATGAATGAAAGTTTTATGCTATACAAGTCAGGTACAGATGTTAACAACATCAAATGACTGATGATAGAAAAAAACAAACACAGCAGGAATGAAGAATGCTGTTTGTCAGAGCACCGCTGCCTAACATATACTTTACCATAATTAGCGGAGTTTAACTTCAAATATTTTACTGCAATGTAAATATCTTGGTCTAGTGCCAATATTTGTGTGTATAAAGCGGTACCCCCACTCCAGGGTTGCTGTTTTAACCGTCCTTTCAGGTAGCAAGAACTGGTCATCATTTTTATCTTAAAAGCCCCCCATAAAAGGAAAAAGATTTTTTTAAACAGTACGCGTGTCAAAAAAAAAAAAAAGCTTTTT